CGGCGATTTCCTCAACCAAGTGTGTTTGTGTATTTATCAATTTGGTGTCTTTGTGCGAGTGTTCAAGTTGTAAGGTCATGGCCTCTTCCCCCGTTTGGGCCCTGGAGGATATTCTGTCAGCTCTGAGGTCAGTGGTTCTAAGCAATGTTGATGCTTAGGTGCACAAACTGGTGGAGCCTCCACATCTTCTGCAAACGGTTGCCTGCCTGTTTATTGCTGCTATGGCGTTCAGAAACTTTTACTGGTTAGGCAGTGACTGCCGATGATGACCGTTATGATGAGGCCGCAAATCATACCAATGCCGCCCTACCAACGGAGTATTGACAGGATGACGGATTGTGGCCTTTGGTCCAGCACTCGAATCATGGAGTTTGATTTGGTGCTGAAACAATGTCGGTTTCTTGATTCCTTGACTGTCGACATGATCGGTTGTGATGCAATGAAAGCATCGCAAATCACTGTCACGAGAAAAACAATGATAATCGTTCATGTTATATTAGACACCAAGGCCACCAACTTGGACATAACATGAAGAATTGTTTGTGGACATTGCCTCATACCACCATGCCGCTGATGTGAGCGATGTCGGAGCTGTCATTGCTGCCGCTGAAGCCGGGAGATCATTTGTGGCGGCAGCTGAAAGATGGCCTCTCGGCTCATATGGCGCGTGCCGCAAATGCCGGTTTTTTGCTAGCAAATTCCCAGGACGCGTGTGGCATGCATTGCCCGCGTCCCAGGATACCAAAACTTTTACCAGGATGGATTGTTGTGTTTGCCGCCATATCGAATGGTGCCCTGTGGTGATTGGATTGGTTTAAGGTACGTTGGGCAATTCTTGCTTGAAGCAGCTGAAGATGGTGCAACATTGGCACTTCCACCTGGAGACAGCTCTGACATGCTCCCACCGAGCCTTGGAAAGAAGCACGGTGAACACCTTGCGGAAAAAAAATATGAATCAAACATGAACAAATGGGATGTGACAGCTCAGGTGTGTCATTGCAGTTCAACATTGTCCTCAAGATGCGCGCGGGTCTATAGCTCGGAGACTTGAATGCAATCCAATTATTCTGGTCAAATGAATGCAAAGACCCTGCATGGTAAGGATTTTGTTGGCAGACTTCGTTGATCCAGCATGTGGTGCAAGTGCCAGGAAAGAAGGTTGGGCCATGCACAAATGAATGAATCGTCACACTGATTTCCGCATTGCCGCGCAAGGCGTGGTTGGAAGTGAAGAAGGTGAATGCACGAGCCCAGCAAGGGTGCGCATCTGATTTCAGTTAGCAAGAGTTTTGGAAGCCATGGTCAGCCAATGCAGGCTTCTACCGCAGACATTGTCAGCTCCTCAGATGAATTGTGCATGTGTATCAGATGGCTGCATCACCACAGTCCCACACCCACAAGCCGCCATCCACCATGTGCCATCCACCATCCATCACCATGAAACGCCGCCTTCACCATCACCATCGTCGTCAGCATAATCATCAGCAGCAGCAGCAGCAGTAGCATCACCATCGCCATGACCGGTAGCGTTGACATTGTCCTCCTCCTCCTCCTCCTCATCATCATCATCATTGCCATCCTGTTCATCCTCATCCTCGTGATTATCATAAGCAGCCACAGCAGCAGCAGCCGCAACAACATTCTAATGATTATTTCAACTTTGCTAGATTATAACAGTATATATTGCGAACCGGACAGATATCCATTTTGGTATTCGTTGTGTTGCAGCTTTAGATTTGCCATTATCCAGCACTTGCATGTTGTGTATCCTGCCACTCCACCCGGCAGTCATGTAGAAAAATGACTGATATTCAAAATGTGTATCCGCACTTCTCGTTTGAAATGCTACCAAGTCGGTGCGACTGTACACAAGAAGACCCCGTGGCCGACGTGCTGCTATTGCTCGGGCATTGACGGCGATTGGTGCACAGGCCAGGCCATGCACAACTGTATGTCGCAGTGGCACATACGGTTCCGGCAAATGTGTATGTTTGCCAGCTCCCATTGCAGGTTGAGACGGCCACGATTGCAAATTTGCAGGCAACCTATTGGACATTGCAGTTGCAGACTGACATCCATGAAGTTAAATCTTGCATTGGGGCAAACAGTTTGAGGCCAGAACTGCTGCCATGGTGGGCGATTTTTGACGAAAGCGATGGTTTCCAACCTGGGCTTTGCGTATCACGCAGACGAGCTGTGAGATACCGCCTGGCACCCAAGGCAGGAGATTAGTACTGGAACTGTGGGCAGTGCTTTAGCACGAAAATGGCGCAACCACACCACAATTGCGCGGAACTGTTCGGCTCAAGACGCCAAAGGGGCGGCTATCACCACAGCGCCACAGCGCAGCATTGCTCATACATGACGTTCTATGCAACATGGGCATTTCCAAATCGATAGGCAGCTCACTGGGGACATGAAACATTCAAAATGAATGCCAGGGCAACAACACCTAACTGTGCAAGGACAATTTTATTGTGTCCTTCTTTAATTCGCCTCCATGGCGGGTTCCGTGGCCGGATTCATTGTGATGTTGTGACTGCTTTTGTGCACTTCTGGTTGGTGGGGTGTCTTGTGAATGCATGCTGCCAAGGTGCTAAAACCTTCTCCGATTATTCGCCATCCCTGGAACCAAGGTGGGGATATCACTCAGGGCCAAGTCATTGGTCGGCATTTGTTTGCTGATGTTTCCTCGAACAGATGCACAACATTGTGTTGTTGAAGTGTGCGCTTGTGTATGTGTGTGTGTGTGCGCATTATCCTGGCATATGTCAAAGGATCCTTTGTGGCTTGCCATGCTGTCACCCGGCAGGAAATTATCCTCTCGGTCGGGGTATTTATGCAGTGCCGATTTAGATGACACTTGATTGCCATGCACATTGAAAGCATCGCAACGTTTGTACGGACAGAAACTGTCAGCTGAGTCGACTCGGTGACCACCCAGGAGCTCCATCCCCACATGATGTATGGGGCATTGATGTCCTCCCTGGATGCTCTTGTACGCTCTTTTTGGGACGTGGTGCCCGCCATAGTGTCTCTTGCTCAAATATGGCCGGTATATGTTGAACATGCATTCAACATGCAGGGCGTACCTAGCTTTGCAATAACGTTGTCTGGTCCGAGATGCATGCAGGCGAGTAAGTTTGACACCTAAAAAGCCTCAGCCAAATCATTGCTGCAGATCAGTTCGACTTGCATCTGGAGCTGACCTCTTTGGATAAGGTCTGTGCGAGTGATGCTTCTGGCGCTTTTACTTCCAGCCGCCAGTTTGCAAACACAAGAAGGAAGAAGGAATGTTGATGAAATCAACAACAACAACACAGCGTCATATTTGAAGAATCACCATGGCCTACATGTCCAGACTTGGCATTTGTGAGTTGACATAATTCATTGTCGGGTTTGGGTGTTTGAGCAGGCATTTCACATCCCCCACAGCCCACAGTTCAGCTGAGGTTGTCCCAATCGTGCTGCCATTGGTTGTCGTGGAGCGATTTTTCGAAATGTCCACTTTGTTTGTTGCCCAGACCTTAGTTTCCGGATCATTATGGCAGATCCAGGTAGTGTGTGTACGTGTGCAAGCAAGCACGGGTTGGTGCTCAACTGGCCACTAGGTTCTGGCGGAGGCCGTTTTCTTGATCTGGCTGCACCAGCTGCGGTGGCGATTGAATTTGATCAAAACCGTGGATCAAAGATTGCCGCCGGCAAAAGCTTTCGAGCCCTTGGCAGAACAATCAACCGTTGTGGCCGACGTAGCCATATAACAAACCATTTGGATATGCCATCGAAAAGCTGCAGCGGTTGTCGAGCGGTTGGGATTCAGGATCTTTTCCATCGCGCTTTGCGGCAAGTGGACCAGTGTGCGGAATGGTCCAATGGCCGCAGCCCAACGGACCTGTTGCTCAATGTGCGTGTGTGCGTGTGTGTGGGTGTGTGTGTGTGTGTTTGTGTTTGTGTTTGCAGTTCGCAGCGCATCATGCGACTGAGCATGCGCTCAGTCGAACAAAATCCCTGAAGGAATGGCTGGAAGGTTGGTTCTTGAAGACACCAATCCGAGAAATCAAGCGAAACAACCTTCAGGAGTTGCTTGACTGACTTCATGCCCTGCATTGCATACATGGCGGGTTGATCTTGCGCCAGCGCTGCGGTTCCAGTATCACTGTTCAGCCAGCATTGTCAGGTTTTTTGCCTGGGCATTTTACATCAAGTATCCTGCCGAGCTTGAAGTGTCAGAGACAGAGGAAATAGAATTGATGATCAAGGACTTTGTGTTGATCGGCGAAGCTTGTGTGCTCTCCGTGATAGAAATTGTGCGTATGCTGAGAACGAGGAGTGTGAACAAAGATATCAATGGTCTTTCCCAGAAGGCAATTGGCGGGTTTGGCACAGTCAGAGTCAGCAACCAATAGTTTGTCGAGTGGTGCTGGTGGCCATCCATGCCCACATTTTGAACTGCGTGCAATTGCAGGTTACAGTCCTGGTGTGCGGTCCATGCGCATTAACTTTGACCCTATCCAGGCAACGCATTTGGAGCTGAGCACAGTTTTTGGAGTAATCATGACGGTTCAGAGTTGCGCAATTGGCAGGCATGGTACCATCCCCTGTGGTATTATGCCGCTTGGCGAGACATTTGTTTGTCCGACCGTCGTTATGCTCATAGGTTAATGGTTGGCTGCACGTGGCTGCACGTGTGTTAAACATGTCACTCTGCTTGAGCTGTGTCATTGTCCTGGCTTGGTTTAGGGGATTCGGATGACACACACTCGCACACGCACACAGGCACACACACAGACACACACACAGACACAGACAGAGACACACACACACAGACACACACACACAGACAGACACACAGACAGACACACAGACAGACACACAGACAGACACACAGACAGACACACAGACAGACACACAGACAGACACACAGACAGACACACACAGACAGACACACACGCAGACACAGAGACACACAGACACAGACACACACACACACACACAGACACGCAGACACGCAGACACGCAGACACGCAAACACGCGGACACGCAGACACGCAGACACGCAGACACAGAGACAGAGACACGCAGACACGCAGACACGCAGACACGCAGACATGCAGACACGCAACAACACGCACACGCAGACACGCAGACACGCAGACACGCAGACACGCAGACACGCAGGCACGCAGACAAGCAGACACGCAGACACGCAGACACGCAGACACGCAGACACGCAGACACGCAGACACGCAGACACGCAGACACGCAGACACGCAGACACGGCACGCACGCGAACGCACGGCGCGCACGCACGCACCGCGCGCACGCACGCACCGCGCACACGCACGCGCCGCGCGCACGCACGCACCGCACCGCACGCACCGCGAGCACGCACGCGCCGCGAGCACGCATGCACCGCGCGCACGCACGCATTTTGCGCACGTGCGCATTGTGCGCGCGCACGCACGCGCGCACGCACGCACACACAGACACCCACACCCACACCCACACGGACACAGACACAGACACAGACACACACACACACAGACACACACACACACACACACACGCACCAAACACACTACACACACACTACACGCACTACACAGACACAGACACAGACACTCACACACAGACACACACACGCACTACATACACACAAACACACACTACACAGAACCACACACACAAACACAACACAAACACACACACACACACACACACACACACTCACACACACACAACACACGCACACACACCCACAACACAGACACACACTACACACAAACTACACACGCACGCTCGCGCTACACACACACACACACTACACACACACACCACACACACACACACATGTTGAGCATCGCTCATGCAAACGCCATGTCAAGCGGGTTGCTTAGGGCCACGCAACGCTACAGGGAACCAGGCTAAGCCGGTAAAACGATGAGGTGCAAAAAAAACGATAAGGTTGAACATACATCTAATGCGTAAAACGATAAACTTTGACGCAAAACCGATAAGAAAACACATGTGCAGCCCATTTCAATTGAGGTTTTGCCGCGGCCTCTAATGTTTCCAGCAGTGCGTTTGCGCAGCAAGCTGCGCGGGTTTGTGTTCGTACATACGCAAGAACTTCGCCGCCTTGGCAAGCCACAGAGACACATAAACACACGCACACACACCCACGCACACACACACACAAACACCAACCACACACACAAACACCAACCGCACGCACGGGGAAGAGAGGAGAAGGAAGTCAACGTAGTGGTAGAAGGCGAATCGTTCCTGAGTGTCAACATCCTCGGTAAGCGTCAAGCATGTCTTGCGGGTAGGCATGCCAGCTGCGTATCACAACGCCCAGGCACTGCCAAGCAGGTACGTTTCACCGGAAAAATGCGAAGACCCCTGCTTGTTAAAGAAATGCGCAAGGCATGCTTGTGACAGCATGTGACACACACACAGAAGCCCCCTAGGGCCAGTGATTGGGGACATTCACACAAGGTCGAAGAAACCGGGATCGCCTCCATCGTCACAGCCTTTTGGCTGCTCTGTCTTGAACAACAACTGGTCAGGCGGGGAGGGGGGGCAGTTTGCTCGTACAGGACGGGGCCCCGCACGAACAGACAGCTTGTCCCACGGATGAGAGCTCTTTCGGGCACGGAAATCATCTGTTTAGTCCAGCCCAGAAACACAAAGCTGCGCTGTTTGCAATATCGTGCGCTAAGAACCAAACAGAGCAGGCAAGGCAGGAGCGACAAAATCAGAGACTGCGACCTAAAACCGGTACGAGTCATCAGGCTATTTGAGCTCACCAAAGCTGCTTTTCAAAAACCAAGTTGCCCAATATGCCAACCAAGGATGTGCACGATCCCAATAGGCCCACAAGCCCATCTCCGCACAAGGCCGCTGCCAATGGATACCCTTCCGATCTGTAGGTGTTGTCTTTGTCTACACTGGGTGATCTTCCACAAGTAAGACCGGTCGAGAAGCAGTATCTAAGCTCGGGGCAGCGCGGGCTTCATTTGACAAACCTCAAACGGTCACAATGTTCGTCATTGGTAGTTGGTGCAACCGCAACTGGACACGCTTCCGCACTCAGCCAGCAATGGACTCAATTCATGTAGCGAATGGCTCAAATCCTGCTGCATCACATCATTCCGGCAGTCGCAATTGGCTGAAGTATAAGATCATCCCGGCATGACACGACCTGGCGTGAAACATCCGGAAGCGAGCCAATGACCAGTGTGTTTCGGTCAGGAGTATGTACTGAGCGCGTGAAAGGTAGCAACTTCATAATCTGCACTGCCACCAACACGCTCAACGCGCATCACGGTTCATGCAACAAGGCGCACCTTGTTTAGCCGTTTTTCTTGCAAAAGATAACGACAATCAGCAAGGCTGAAGCTGTTGAAAAGAACGGGCGTCTTGCATTGCGTCGCGAAAGATGGGCTGTAACTGTTGTGCAAAAAAGGACCACTGGCGGGTCAAGTATCTGTATCTCCGAGAGGATTGAAGTACTTCGCGCAAAGCGCGCAAGAGTTGACAACGCTTGAAATGCATGCCACTATCAAATCCAACAGCTGCGGCCAGATCAAAGAGGCTGGCCATGTGTGTCGGAGGATGAGTAAAGCCCGAGCTTTGAACCCAGCAAGAAGATGCTGTTCTAAAGTAGCCGAAAGACCAGACTGCAAGGATCGCGCGCAAGGCTGAATGTATGTAAGAGAGCGCTGATGGACACAAATGCGAAAACCCAACAGCTCATCAGAATGCACATGTTCAAGTTTCATGGGGTCAGAATAGAAAGACAGCCATGTACGAAGATGCGCCCAGCTGTGCTGGAAAGACGATGGCGTTCCCAAAAAGCACAATTGTCAACATATCTGAAAATCACAGCAGGCGTACAAACTGAATGAGGTACAACAGACGCAAATACCCATTCTTGAAATAAGGCAACCATGGAGCAGGGCCCACTGAGAGCCCTTGGATGCTCCCCTGATTTGGTGGCACGCTTAGGAACCAACTGTTAGACAAAAACTGTTGAGGAGAAATTGACAGAGAGGCGCTATGCCCGGTACTGCTGGCTAACTGGCGCGATAGTTCCCACGGAATACCCTCAGAGTCCTTTCCTGTTGGCGCACGCGTGCCTGCAGCGTCATGTCAGGATGAACATTCTGAATCAGGCAGTGCTGATTGACAACAAACTGTAAAGTGCACAAAATGCGCGAATCTTCAACTTGGTTATAAAACCCAACAATATCCAACTGGCGCAGGACTGAAAAAGTCTTCAAATACCAGAAATGAGAGTGGCGATATCAACTTGAGCGCCAAGGGCCGGGAATACCGCACGACGCATCATTTGCAAACTGACGCTTAAGGCAAGTCCAATTAATTCGGCAGGGCCAGGCCTTGGAAAAATTCACGATCGGGCGTGCCTTCTGAAAGAATCGTGTTGGCTTGGGAAGTATGCATGCCTGTGGCAATGGTGAACCCCAATTGAAGCCACGCGTAGAGACGAGCAAACTCCGGCGGTAGACTTTGCTGGATACGCTGAAATATAACTTCCGCACCCATGGGGCTTGGCCGAAACACCTGGGGGTCTTCAAAAGTACGTAACAACAAGGTATGCCACTGCGCTGGGCACAAGACAATAGCATGGGAATGATCAGCCGGTGAAAAAACCCATTGTAACTGCAGAACGCGCAAAGGTCGTAGATCGTCACTGGTCCACACATCTGGAGAAAGGTGCTCACGTAACTGAGGCCACAGCTGATTCAGAAAATGTTACCAGCGTGTCATCAAGGAATGTGGCAACTTCCAATGCTGTAGCCATTTTTCCAACCCCAACGTGCTCTGGGAAATAGATTGTTTGTTCAAAGGCAAATGTTGTCTTGAAAGTGATAATGTAAAATTCGACGTTCTGGCAACTTTTCAGCGGCAAAACGCGCTTCGTGTTTCCCTGTAGTAGTGCCACAAGCACAACTTGGTGTAGATGTGGGTTGACTGTGTCTCAGAACACGCCGAAAGTTGAAGACACGCTTCTCCAAGGAAAACCCACGAGTGGAAACTACAGTGCATCTGGGTTTATGGCAGGGTGTTTTAGCCAGTTCCGCATTTGCAAAGCCATGGTTTCATTGATTGCCAACAAGCGCAACGGTCGGTTGGCAGGGGGTGCATCACCGCCTCTAAACTGTAGGGCCAATCGTAAATTAGTCTGACTGCGGGCGCGTGTGGGTTCAGGTAAAAAACGTGACAACCGAAACAATAAATATACATATTCAATGTCAACGACGACGATCGGACAAGCCTGGCCGCCTTGAACTTGTCTCTGGTATCAGCACCAAGCGCAAACAGAAATTAGAATGTTGTCGGTCAAACCACTGCGTCAAACGATGACGGAGCTTCATATGCGTGTGTTTCCCAAATCTTCGGCGCAACCTTCGGCCGGCGCGGGCCTGAGCTCCTGTGACCTGTGGTCGATGAAACTGTGGTTGAACGCGAAGCTTGCGAAGCAAAGGGTTGATCCAAGGGTGACTCAGACTCGGTCGAAGAATGTATTGTAAAGTGGTTTCTGCCACTGCAACGTCTCCATTACGAATGAATCTCATGGGCAAAACCAAGAACTGATCGAAGGTGCAAGTGGCTTTCCAAAACTTTAAAGCTGGTTCAAAATAAGCAGTTGTGTTACGGGTCAGCTGGTGGAATTTTCGCTTTCGTGATTGCTCACGCTCAAACATGGTCAGGCGGGTGCTCCCGATATAGAAATGTTTGGACTGAAGCGACAGTCTGATATAAACGACTCCAGGTTCAAAGAACTGGTTGAAATCAAAATGGTCACTAAAATACCTTGAGACTTCAATTCCTCCCGGACTGTGCGCAATGCGCCCTTCAGCAGTGAATATTCCAGCCACGTCAATGCCAAAAGCCCCCGCGGCCAGAGCACGCACTTCGAAATGAACCAAGGAAGCAAATCATGGTGAATGAAAAGACCAAACATACGAACAAATTGCAAACTAAACAACCGCAAAAGGGGGCTGTGACGTGGCCGCACTGCTAAGGACACCAGTCAGTTGCGCTGCAAACTCACTGCAGCCAGCAAAAGAAGCAGGCCCTCATGCTGCATTTTTGCCGCTTTGTCTACAGAAAGGCTCAATGTACAAGCGCGCGATTGAGCTCTGGCTTGTCATTCATGGAAACGGCGTACTATTCTTCGATCACGGAAGAAAGTGTCTTGACTTCATCAACACGGCCTCGACCCACATATTGCTGAACCCAAGACTTAACGCTCTGCAAAGCGGTGTCACGCGAAAAAAACATAAAACTGGTTCTCTTGCAGCCACTTCCAAGTCTCGAAAATGGTCCAACGGAGACCGCTCCTCCATCCTAGGGTGGGGCTGGGGCAGGGTTCCGGTCTGACGCCTCAGAGTGCTGGGATGGCCGCAACGCGGCAGTTCGAGTTCGTGGACATTGGCATCTTGGGGCACGAGCGTGACGCAATGCTTCACCAACTTCTGCGCAAGTGCCTCAGTGGCATCGAGACGTACTTGCCAATCGTTGAGATCTGCATTTGCTGGGGGGTGTGCCTTCAGTAAGGAATTGAAGTCAACTTGAGGATCATCGTACAGTGCCTTAGTGAGGGATGTGGCAAACACCGCCTCCATACGGGATCGGATTAGTTTGACTGCAAGTGCTTGGCCATTGCCAAGCAAGCGCAAACACCAGTTCTGACTCTGCTGGGCCATACTTCATAGAGTCTGATGTCTCACAAGTCTCGGTTTGCCGTTCCTTGTCGTCTTCAAAGCTGAGTGGAAGTGTGAGGCCCTGAACTGGTGTCAAAATGTGTGTCGGATGATTTCCATTCGGCCGATCGTTGAAATCGTGGTTGTTGAGTAGCCGAGTGGCGTTCATGAGACTGAGTGCGAGACCGCCTGGTACCACGGCGAGCCTGCCTGTTCGTCCTAGAATCTTGACGCCTGGGTGTTGTGTCTCGTCGGCCACGAGAGCGAGAGCGATCAATGTCTCGCGATCGGGGCATGTCGGAGACAATGGCAAAAATCTAAGATTGCAAAATGAAACCTACTTGAGCCCTGGGTAACACATCATTGGCAAGACTTCAAAAAATACCGGCACATGACTGAGCAGCGCGTGTGTGAAGCGCAAGCGAGGCTTTCTTTTTTACAGTGTCTTGAGTGATCAGCGCAAGCTGGCCAAGCAAATGTTGAACAGATGTCCGCGTCAGCAATTGCCGCGTAGACTTGGGAAAAGCGCGAGTAAAAAATCGAAAGGACAGCTCCTGTACGCAGAGTAATGGGTAATCAAACGGTGCACATTCTTCCGCCGAATCTGGTCGACACGCATCCATGACGATGACACTACGATGTTGTAACATGGCGCTCCACAGATCAACCCAAGGAAAGTTAGAGAGCGCAGTCCATGATTGTCCGGTCACTCCGATCCTTTGCAGGTATGAACTGACGGGATGCCCCTAAAAAAACACATCCATGGACCAGTGGGACTTCCCACATGTCATTGCCAAAATGATGCCACGGGCCAGACAAATTCGCACAATCCGCGGTAGCAGCAACAAAGCGAAAGTGGAAGCAGACCGGTCATCATGCTTACGTGTCGATTCTGCAGCAGGTGAAGACACACCACCAGCGAATTCTGACATAACATCTAAGGCCGTTGCAGCGTTCGTCGAATCTGAACATATGGCCGCACATGCGTAGACTGTGCGAAAAGCACTTGTGGGTGACGCATTCTTCAGATCATTTGATGAGCAGCTGAAAACATCTCTTCCTGCATAATGCCTCGCAGCTAATTTACGCTCTGAGAACCCACTGCAGCCGGTCGAGGCAAAGGTTGCAGACCTACCGCCTGAAAAGCTGGATTGTTCATGAAAGTGGCCCGAGGCATCATGGAAGTCGACGGCTGTTAAACATTCTCAGAATTGAAGGACCTGGAGCTGAACTAACATGGATCGGCAACATGGCAGCATAAAGACTTATGCTAAACACACCTGGAAATACGCCACTCTTGACTTGATCCCAGGCTCAAGTACAGCATGAATGGCTGACTTTCTCCGTATGATTGGACAAGCTCTCAGCTCAAATTTCGTGGGGGGGGGGGGGGCGACGTAAGTAGACTGTTCTCGCATGGAAGTCTCATGACATGTCTGCCGTTTTATTTGTTGGTAAGTGCGCGGCGTGAAGGGCCACAGAAAATGTGGCCCATCTCGCCGCCGAAGCAGCCGGGTAAAGCTAAAGAAATTCGGCTTTTTTCAAGCCACGTGCTTTTGCTGTCAAGCGATTCTGGCGTTTAGCCTTCGCGTTGGGTGGGTGATGAGCCGATTCTGGCACGAGGCCTATTCTGGCGTGCGGGGTCCAAGCTGCGCACACCACGTGCCCATGAAAGCCCGCTTTGTTGAATCCAAGCTGCGCGCGCTGGTGCCCATGGCGATTCTCCACAGCCTGTTCTACTCTCTGAGGTACCGATCTGCAAACGGACCTATGCAGGGGTCTGGCCCAGTCCAGTTATCTGTGCACGCCGAAGCGGCAGTTTCGGTACGGGCAAAATTCGCCTCGTTACCGTGTCCGACACACGGGGAAGAGAGGAGAAGGAAGTCAACGTAGTGGTAGAAGGCGAATCGTTCCTGAGTGTCAACATCCTCGGTAAGCGTCAGACGTGTCTTGTGGGTAGGCATGCCAGCTGCGCATCACAACGCCCAGGCACTGCCAAGCAGGTATGTTTCACAGCAAAAATGCAAGGTCTTCGTTGGCCAAGGCTCGCGTTTTTCCTCCTTGGCCCCCTGCTTGTTAAAGAAGCGCGAAAGGATGCTTGTGACAGCACACACACACACACGCACGCACACACACACACGCACACACACACACCCACACCCACACCCACACCCACACCCACACCCACACCCACACCCACACCCACACCCACACCCACACGCGCACCCACACGCGCACGCGCACGCGCACGCGCATGCGCACGCGCACGCGCACGCGCACACGCACGCGCACACGCACACGCACACGCACGCGCGCGCGCACGCGCGCGCACGCGCACCGCGCGCACGGCAACGCGCGCACACGCACACGCGCACACGCACACACACACACACACACACACACACACACACACACACACACACACACACACACACACACACACACACACACACACACACACACACACACACACACACACACACACACGCACGCACGCACGCACGCACGCACGCACGCACGCACGCACACACGCACGCACGCACGCACGCACGCACGCACGCACGCACGCACACACGCACGCACGCACACGCACACGCACACGCACGCACGCACACGCACACGCACACGCACACGCACACGCACACGCACACCCACACACACACACACACACACACACACACACACACACACACACACACACACACACACACACACACACACACACACACACACACACACACACCCACACCCACACCCACACCCACACCCACACCCACACCCACACCCACACCCACACCCACACCCACACCCACACCCACACCCACGCGCGCATGCGCGCGCGCATGCGCTTTTGCGCGCTGACAAGCAACCAGGCTGCAATTCGCGGTTTGTGTTTGGCAACGCGCTCAGCCATGAAGATGCTGCTCGCTTGCAAGACGAGGCTTGAAATAGCACGGCTTGCAATCTCCATGTGACAATGACAGCCAACAAGGATGGGCTTCGCTCAGAGGACTGCAGGCATTCCGAAATGTTTGAACGATCGTTTGATGTTTGTGTAACGTCTTACTCCGAAATGGTCAGGTGAGCTGGCGTACTTTCATCGCTCAGCTCCATCCCGCCCCGGGTGGCCGCCTTGGCTGCTCTTGCCTGCTGAGGTGTAGCACTGACTGAAACGCCGATCCCAATTCGCATGATGAGATCCCAGTCTTCTCAATTTGCTTTGAGATTCAGAAAGCACCTGTGTTCAAGGCTTTTGGTACAGAACGGAAAGCCGGTTCACCAATCTCAAGCACTTCCAGCACCCTGGCGCCAACGTTTCAAAAACCATCTCATTCATCAGCTGGATTCATTCAGTGTTTTTTTGTGGCATGGGGCAAGTTCGATGGTTGCGCAGTTGCAGTTTGCGCGCAAGGTCGTGTTGCTGCACGGCCTGGGGGTTGGCATTATGCCGTATGTTCGGCTGATTCGCAGGATGCCAAGGGGCAAATGCAATGCACTGGAAGCATACGGATTGAAGGATGTTAGGCAAATCTAAGGTTTGCTTGCCAAATCCAGCGAGTGCTTCGCAATTGCCTTAGTGGTTCGTGGTGTGCGTATCGAACTCTCACCCATCGCGAACCAAAACGTTTGAGGTCATCGAGCTGCCAGAAATATCTCAGGCCTCATGTTATTCGGAAGCTATTCGGAAGCGATGTGTTGTTCCGCTCTCCTGAGGCATGTTGCAAATCAGTGCTTGCGCCGAAGGAAGGGCTGGTTGTTATGCAAGCACTGAGGTGTATGAGTCAAAGGTAAGTGTTTTGGTTGGATGTGGGCTAGTGCAGGAGATGGCAGATCTTTTGTCCATGATGCTGAAGGCACACGGACATGAGCAGGCAACTCGCTCCAACCTGCAGAGAAATATGAATTCATGAATTCATGAGTGTGCCAAAACATTGATATCTGAGGCGATTTTCATTGCACACTCCTATGGCACCTTTGTGATGAGCTGGGTGCTGCACTTCAGGATGCAATCATGACTATCTTCCACTGCATGAATTTGTATGTGACAAAAGCTGTTGCACGCAGGAAGGAAATTGTGGCGAGAACTGCATTGCTAGATCCAGTCTCCTTGCATTTGGCCCAGCCCGACGTGGCATACAACTTCCTGTACAGGCCAACCAGACTGCACATTTGCTTCTAGAGCGTGCGTGCGTGTGCTTGTGTGTGTGTGTGTGTTCTTGCGATGCGTGCTCGCAGGCACCCGGACAATCCAATGCTGAAAATGGTCGCCCACTTTGCCCTTCGTCAGCACCAGACAATGCCACATAATTTTGTTTGTCCCTGAGCAACGTTGTCATGTAAATTCGGTTGGCTGACAGAGTTTTTGCCCACTGAAGAGTGTTCATGAGCTTTCTCGCCCAACCACTCAACGTGTGTCAGGTGAGATGGGAGCTCTTCTCAGCTCACGTTCTAATGCGCAACTTGTCTGACTGGAGCATGCATGTGGAAGTACCCACAAAACTAGGCATTCCTTGAAGGCTACATCACCGCTGCCGACGTTCGAGCATGGGAAAACGAGAGAAAAGAAAAGAACTGCCCCGTCTTGTGCTGATTTGGCCAGGTCACTTTTATTGGCATCACAACGTGCTTTGGAAGGAGGAGCTGCCTCCAAATTCCCTGGTGGTACCTTGCCAGACAAAGCAAGGAAACGTGTGGAATGTTTTGGCGGGTGGGACTTGTCACTTTGTATTTGTTCAGCAGCGGGAACTCAGCGTTTGCATCCATGCTGTCCTTGTGGGATTGTTGGGTGCAACATGTGCAGCTTTCGCCAAATACAAGGTGTTGGCAAGTCACGACGACATAAGTGCCTTGTCTCGGAGATGTTGACGAGTTGCTTGGCGCTTCCCATGAGCAGAAGGTATCAACTTGCTCGAGTGGAGAGAAGCCTGGATTCTGTATGTTTTTCTCAAAAAAAACTGTGCAATGGAGTTGCTGTCTTCATACGCATTTGAGGCAATGCTCACTATATTCGCCGCTACCTTGAAGATCACCAGCGCCAAACTAGCGACAACAAGACGTCGCCTTAGTTGATTGGCCGTCCAGAAACAGACAGGCGTCATTGCCGAAACAGTTTCTGACCTTGGTTCAGGCTACAACTGCTTTGGCTCGAAGGATTTTTTCATGGCCAGGGGCCTGGTAGCTGGCATCGCCCAAGTGAAGTGGTCTGTGTAGCCAGTGTTTCGAAAGGTTTTTTTTTTTTGCTTTGAGCTTCTTGTCTTCTTGGCTTTTCGGCTTCTTGTCGGGTTACGCGGCTTTGCAGCGGTTTTTGGTGGCTTTGGCTTTTCGCATCTTCTGCTTTCCCAGTTCCTCTCCGGTTCATTGGTTTTTGGTTTTGGCTTCCCGCATCCTCAGCATCACCAGTCCCTCCCTGTTTGAATCATGACTTCTTCAAACATCCCAAGCCCCCCGCTACTTTTTAGATTTCTTGCAGAGATTTACTTGCACCCCTATTTGGTTCATCACTTATTCGAGCATCCAATTTCGCGAGAAAATGCTGTAAAATACGACACTTTATGTAATCTATGTAATCTATGTATGTTCGTATGTACGAACATCATAAGGGAAGCCACCCCCGCCAACCCTCCCGCTGCTTTCTATTTTTTTTCTCTTCCTCGAACATCATGGGTGGGGGTGCTGCCCCCCCCAACCCCCCCGCTACTTTTTAAACTTTTTGCAGAGATTTAACTGCACCCCTATTCAAATCATCGCTTCTGCGAACATCATGGGCCGCCCCCCCCAACCTACTTGATAGATTTCACGATTTGTTGGTGATGCTGGGGATGTTGGTCGGACATGCGGGGGATGTTGAAAACGATGCTGGGGATGTTGACGGGTTAGTGTAAAATACGCCAATTTCGCGAGAAACAAACTGTAAAATGCGACATTTTACTGGCCCGGACGAAAACCCCCCAAAAAAATAAAATAAAAATGGGGCACTCCTCGTTTGGGTTGACCGCTAAGATGGAGTCCAAACACTAAAAGAGATTTGTGTAACAACAAGTCGGTCTACATTCAATCGAATAAAGCAGTTGAAATCCCGCCGCATTTGAAGTGCTAGTTGTACCCTTTGCCATTGATCCATTTGCTTTCCATGGCTTTGAAATTGACAGACTTGCACGGGGGCACAGTACCAGTCCAGGTTGTAGGTTCTCTTGCGCTTAGCCCAGTGGGCAGACTGCAAGGGCCAATATTTCATGGCCGTGGCAGCCTTGCTAAGCCCGCTCCGGTACTGGTGTTACTCATAGTCTTGAACGATTTTCACTCGCTCCTTTGTGAGACTGCTCAAACCCAATGAGAAAGCACACAAAGGCCATGCAAACTCAAAAGCACAATCAATATCCGTTGTTCCAGGCCTGGCCACACACGCAGCGTGTTTTGTCTTTGTGTTCTTTGTTTTCTTTTGTCTGAACACATGTGCTTCAACGTGCCAAGTGACAACATCGCGTGCCATGTGTAACCCGCAACGATGCCAGAACTGCCTTCGAAATCCAAGGTGCTTCCGCATTGTTGGCAGCACCAAACCAAGCAGGTAGAAGGTGCCAATCGATTCACAAAGGTTCCAAAGGCAAAGCGAGGATAAACAATAAGGATAACGCACAGTATGTTCGGTCACACACCCCATGATCATATGTAGCGTGTATTCATAGACTAATAGAGATACCATCGCAGCAATGCGCACAGCGTACACAGTATGCTTATCGTATTTTGCAGTATTCTGCAATCTAGCGTATCGCGCTTGAAGATAGAATCGAACCCCAAAAGGCCACAGACACACACACACACACACACACACACACACACACACACACACACACACACACACACACACACACACACACACACACACACACACACACACTTAAAACTCCAAATGGAGAGTGCTAATCTTTCGAGTACAACTGATGAGTCTCGAGTACAACTGATGAGTCTCGAGTGGGTGTAGGTTCGGCTTGCATTCACTTGGTTTCCGTCTAGCAGCGAACACGTTACCCGAAAGAACAAGAAGCACAAACAGCGCCGCAACCAAGGGGGCCAAATAGACTTTCAGAATCACCGATGCAGGTACGTCCAGCTGGCCAAGCTGGATATCCCACTTCACTGGTAGCTTCGTTGGACACAGTCCCAGTGAAGTGCTGTGTCCCCCTGCTGAGAAACCGAAAGGGTGGTGACAGGGCATTCTGTCACTCCGCACACACACGCCCCTCAATGAGGGGCGAGGAGTCTCCTTTTCCGAAGGAAGATCACATGCTCAACCCCGTGTCCCTATCGTTGACCCAAAAAATCCACCGCGGCGAGGGGAACGAGAAACAGCCCTAAACCGCTCAGAAGACGGGAACGAGAGATCACCACGTTGAGCATTACGAGTGTCGCCATAGAGGACTGAAGTGAGTTGTGCAGCAGTCGAGCGATCACCATGAGAAAACGGAGTAGCATAGGTGAACGTCTCCTCAACTGGAAATGGCATCGGAATTCCGAACTTCACCAAGAGATTGATCATGCGAATGATGAGTTGTGAAGGATTCCATTCGAGACAGAATGCGCTGGTATCCCTGATGCTGCCAGTCGCGGATGGTCCATGCCTGACCGTGCTCACCAGTGCGCCCAGCGGAATCAGTCACCCGCTGCCATTCCCGAAAAGAATTGTCTGGTAGATCAGGTACAGTTTCTCCGAAGTGCCATCGCTGAGGCTGTCCTGCAGTGTAGATCCGTACCCACTCCTGATCCTGCCAGACCGAGTATTCGAGCCATGGGTGCTGCTTCGAATCTTCGATGTCCATGTCGAAGTAAGAGGCAGGGCGTATCGCGGGCTCCGATCCAGCTGATAGAGGAACATGCACCATGCACAACCATGAGCAAGCAACAACCAAGCAAGGTAATGCAAGTGTGAAAACCACCCTTATTTTGTACGCTACCCCACTCGCGTGCATCTAGTCCTCATTTAGCTCGAAGATAGGTCTCGCCTTGGCTTTGCAGCTGTCGGAAGGATTAACAGGCCGGTATGGTTCGGAGACCCCCACCGTCTCCGATGGTGTGATTCCACGTGATGCACGTACAGGTTGATGAAGTTGGGAAGCGTGATGTGCGCGAGCTGTCAGTTGTTGAGAAATCCCCTCTTGGAGACGAGTCAGTTCTTCGGTAGAGAAATCCGCCGCATCCGAGGATCTAAGGATCGCATCTAACAACTGCGGTGACATACTCAATGCCGCGGATTGCGTGGCCACGCTGTGATGATCAGGAAAAGACATAGAATCAAAGTCATGACCAGCTTGAGGGGCAGCGACTCTCCGATAGCCCTCTGTGGCCCAGTCTCTTTTGTACCACTTGGTGACATTGAGCAGCTCACCGTCTTGGTCCGGGTTGGGAGCATAGGACTCCTTCCACTCTCTATACGTGTGCGGTGGAGGTGGAGCATCGTGTTCTTCATGTGGAGTCCATGATCCCGGATGAAAGATCTTGACCCACTGGGCATCTGGTTGTTGAGGATCCGGACACCATTCCAGCCACGGCATGACAACGCAAACCCGGAAAGACAAATTGATAGGTGTACGGCTGCAGACAACAATTACTGAAAGAGACACAACTGCCACAGTGCAAGAAATCACTTTTGCACCAATGCACGGCTCCGGTATCGAAGTCAATCTCCCGAAACTAATTGAACTGAACAGACTCTCCAGGAAGGTGAGGACGAGCATCAGCCACCTTCCGAGTTGGAGGATGCCGATGAAGAGGTCAATCCAGCGTACATGAGGTCCGGTGCGCCCGAAGCGAAAACTGGCCGCGCAATGCTGGGGTGTGGGCGACCCAGCCGTTGGTATCCCCTGGTGACCCAGTCTCTATAATGCCAAGTATAGAAGGATGCATAAGATACCGGCTGCGAAACAGTTGGTGCCGCCTGTGCTATCCCTCGGCCAATACACTTCGAAGTGGTAAACCTTGCGCCATTCCCGATAGGTGGTTGAGTCATCCGGGGCTGGTCCCAAGGTGTTCTCGGCGACCGGATGCCACGGACCCGGAACATAGATCCGAATCCATTCTACTCTCGTATTCGCGGGGCCATTGACGATGTCGTAGTCAAAGTAGCGAGGCAGGACCCATCGTGCTGCGCCATACATTGTACAATTGAACATAACAACCAGGCAAACCGCTCAGAGTCAAATGAGAGCGGCAAACAGCTGAAGACGGAACGCACAACACCAAGCAAGACAACCCAACATGGAATCGCATACAAAGCAAGCACAACCGCGTCAATTTATCCGACATGTTGCTCAAGTATCACCCCGAATCGTTCCAAGGATCATAGAATGGTGGTGGCGACGGCTCTCGCCACGCCCCATCTGGAACCGATGAGTCCACCGAGGAATTGTCGTCTGCATTCACGAGCATCGCGAGTCCAATGGCTGGTAAAGGAGCTCCAAGTCGTTGACACCCTCGTGTTTGCCAGTCTCGGTACTCCCACACGTGGTAGGACACATACGAACTGGGCGTGACAATGGGATCCGTTGTTGTTCCTCCGGCGCTGTCTTCGGACCAGTACACTTGGAAGCGATATGACCTGCGCCACTCCCGATACGTGGAAGCGTAGGCCGGGGCGAGCACTGGAGCATCATCAGGAACGGGTCGCCACGTGCCCGGTGAGTAAATTCTAATCCATTCCACTCCTCTGTCGATCTGGTACTCGAAATATTGAGGGTTCATAGCGGCAAGACAGGCTATCGCGCTGCCGCTAAAAGCAATCGAAAATCTGCGGCGAAGACACACATGCAATGACAACCGCAAACAGCTGAAGGGATGCAAGGCAACTTTTCAAACTCAAGGTGAGACACAGCAGCGAGGTTTGTAATATACGACGCCTAAGCTTCACCGCCGTTGATGCCGTGCACACCTGCAACGATAATGTCCTGGTCGTCTACGAACACAAGGGGAAAGACATTTCCGCCCATGGCGCAGGAAGGCATGACAGTAATGCTTGCAATTTGCCGATGGGGACAGCGATGCACGGCCAGCTCGTTTGGAGGGAAACACGGTAAAAGGCCGCCGAGATCTCCTCGGCGCAGAAGCGGATGCTGTCCGAGATCGTTTGGATGAACGCCCTGGACTGCGTAGCTCTTCATCACGGGAATGGT